TTTAGACATGGGGTTTCAGCATGCTGGCCAGGATGGTCTCGAACTCCCTGACCTCAGGTGATCTGCCTGTATGTGTTCTTACTTTTGATAAGTACCTTTATTGATTGATTGATTGAGACAGTCTCACTCTATTGAACAGGATGGAGTACAGTGGTGCAATCAGAGCTCACTACAGCCTTCAACTCCAGGCCCCAAGAGATCCTCCCAACTCAGCTTTCCCAGTAGCTGAGACTATAGGTACACACCACCCAGGCCTTGCTAATTTTTTTTTTTGAGACGGACTTTCGCTTTTGTTGCCCAGGCTACAGTGCAATGCTGAGATCTTGGCTCACCGCAATCTCCGCCTCTCAGGTTCAAGCGATTCTCCTGCCTCAGCCTCCAGAGTAGCTGGGATTACAGGCATGCACCGACACACCTGGTAATTCTGTATTTTTAGTAGAGGTTTCTCCATGTTGGTCAGGCTGGTCTTGAACTCTCGACCCTAGGTGATCCACTCGCCTGGTCCTCCCAAAGTGCTGGGATTGCAGGTATGAGCTATCGCGCCTGGCAACTTTCTTTTATTGAGATGGAGTCTCGCTTTGTCACCCAGGCTGGAGTGCAATGGCATAATCCTGGCTCGCTGCAACCTCTGCCTCCCGGGTTCAAGCGATCCTCCCACCTCAGCATCCCAAGTAGCTGGGATTACAGCTGTCCCACACCACGCCCAGCTAATTTTTCTATTTTTAGTACAGATAAGGTTTCACCATGTTGGCCAGGCTGGTCTCCAACTCCTGACCTTAGGTGATCTTCCTCCCTTGACCTCCCAAAATGCTGGAATTACAGGTGTGAGTCGAGGCCTAGCTCTTTTTTTTTTTTTCTTTTTTTTAATTAGATGGGGTCTTACTTTGTTGCCCAGGCTGGTCTTGAATTCCTGGAGTTAAGTGATCCTCCTGCCTTTCTAAAGCTTTTACTCTTTGAATTAAAATGAATAAATCAGGAAATGAGCAAAGCCAGTCTCTGAAAAACTTAATTCTCTCTGTAAAGACACTGCATGTAACATTATTTAATAATAACATAGTAAGGCTGGGCACAGTGGCTCACACCTGTAATCTCAGCACTTTAGGAGGCTGAGGCAGGCAGACTGCTTGAGCCTAGGAGTTTGACACCAGCCTGGAGACGGTGAAACCCCTTATCTATTAAAAAAAATTTGCTGGGCCAGGCGCGGTGGCTCACGCCTGTAATCCCAGCACTTTGGGAGGCCGAGGCGGGTGGATCACGAGGTCAAGAGATC